CATCACTGTCCTCAATAACGAATCTGCTGGAGTCACACGCTTGTGTTGGGCAAGACAATACCATCTATGCCCCCTGGTGGGGCAGCACAACCTGCGTGTGTGAAATTGAGTAAAATGAGGTCACGTGTGTGGACCCACTGTCAGCTCTCACATCCGGTACCTGTGGCCCTGACAGTTTCTGTGGTTGGAAATAGCTCGGGGCAGAATGGGACCAACTGCTCAAGAGAGCGGTACAGGGAGTGGCTGCTGTAAGACCGGAGATGAGGGAGACGTTCTCACGGACAGCTCATATGGCAGAATGGCTAAGAGCATGGGCTGCCTGGGTTCGAGTCCCAGCTTTGCTACTTGCTAACTGTGTGAACTTGGGGCACTTTTCTTAATCACATGGTTCTTCAATGTCCTGCTCTGTAAAATGGACGTTATCATGTTGTTTGAGGACTAAATGAGTTCTTGCTCCCATGATTATTAGTCCTAGTGGTCAGGGAAGGCTTCAAGGAGGAGGTGGGACTTGGCCAGATCTTGCAGGATGACTGAGTGAGATTTGCGGGGGTGGGAAGGAAAGCACAGGGCTTTCCCATCAGGAAAAGGCCTAAGTGAGGAGTCTAGTGGACCAGGCAGCGGATGTGAGTCAGGGGCCTCAGGGGGAGGGGGAGGAGACCAAGACCTTTGTGCTTCGTGGGAGATTAAATCAGAACTGTAGATTAAAGGCAGCTTCTAGGAGTCTTGACTTCCAGGCCAAGAATGTAGTTTCACTGGAAGTTTTTGTTGTTGTTTTGTTTTGTTAATCCGCACACGAGGATATTTTTCCATTGATTTTTAGGGACAGTGGAAGAGAGAGGGAATGACAGAGAGGAATGTTGATGTGAGAGAAACACATTGATTGGTTGCCTCCCGCACACACGAACCCTGACCCTGGTTGGGGAGGAGCCTGCAACCGAGGTACGTGCCCTTGACCAGAATTGAACCTGGGACCCTTTAGTCCACAGGCCGATGCTCTATCCACTGAGCCAAACCGGCTAGGGCTCATTGGAAGTTTTAAAGCCAAACAGATTTGGGCTCAGATTTTGACTCTGCCCCTCATGACCAGTATGATCTTGGAAAAGTTTCTTCCACTTTCTGAGCCTTGGTTTTCCCATCTCTACAAGGGAGTAGTATCCACGACCAGGGGGTGGAGGTAAGGAAATGATACAGTACATGGAAACAGCCAGGCATTATGTGAGAAGTGCTTTTTATTATTCATTCAACAAACATAGCCATGTTTTTTCCTGAGCCAGGAACTGCAAGCAGCTAGATATAGAGAGATGAATGAGACATTGTCCTCGCTCCTGGATATCTCACAGTCCAGTCAGGAAGCAGCGATGGAAACACAAGACAGATCCGATAAGTGAAATAAATAATGACACAATGTACATATGGAGAGCTGGCACCGAAGAGGGATGGCTTGCTCTGCCTGGGAGGTCACTTCAGAACACAGACAGAGCTAGACTGACCTGGCCTGAGAGCAAGAGGCGGCTTGTTTATTAGGCTGCTGAGGATGAGAAGAGTGAGGACGGGCAAGGGCGCTTCAAGCTGAAGGAATCCTATGTGCAGAAATGTGGCCCAGTAGGGAAATGGGAAGAAATTGGGTGTGTCTGGAGCCTGGATTGTTGCAGGAAAGGCGGTTGCAGGGAGGTGTGGTCAAACTGTGAATGGACTAGGCCCTGGGAAGCCCTGAAGAGTTTTAAGCAGGGGCGTGACTCGGTTGGACCACTTTGGGCTGTGAGTTGCAGGGTGAAAAGACCTGCTGTAGGGGGAGATTGCTAAGGGGCCTATGAATATTCTGAGGGGAGGATCTGAGGAGGGCCTGGCCTTGGGGCTGTGCTGATGGTGATGGAGGGATGAAAAGGGTTTCTAGGAGCTTAGTTTAGTTTTTGGGTTTAGAAGGTGGCACTGGTGGGCATGAGGGTTGGTATGAAGACAGAGCAGGGCCGATTGCTGGGTGCCTAACCTGACCAGGGAATGTGGGGCGGGGGAGGGCTACGGGGGAGGGTATTGACGTCCATCTGGGACATGTGGAGTGTGAAGAGCCCATGAGACACTCAGTGGGAGCTTTTCTGAAGGCAGGCGGATACATAGATCAAGAGGACAGAAGAGAGGTTTGCACCAGAGTCACTGGAAAGTTCTGAGTGTGTGTGCATGTGTGTGTGTTGTGTGCACGCTGATCACAGCCGTATTTGGCCAGGTGTATCTGGTACCCGTGCCAAGGGAGCCAGGCTGTGGACGGGCAGGGAGACCAACCAGCAGGAGTCTAACGCAGGAAGCCAGGTGAGGGGGAGGCCTCTGGTGACTGGACAAAGGCCAAGGGGGTTTTGTGCTCAGGGGGGTTTTCTGTCCGAAGGAGGTAGGTGATACGGCTGAGCTCACGCGGGCGCACTGAGGCGGATGCGCACCGGCACATGCTGGGGCCGCATGGTGCGTGGCTCACTAGTGGGATCCCTGGAGCCTGGCAGAGTGTGGGTCGCCTCGTGGGTGCTCAAGAAGTGTTGGCTGAAAGCAGGGCCTTTGCCAAACGCAGGTAAGGGGGGTGGAGATGTGGAGTGTGGTGTTAGTGGTGGAGTTGGATGGCAGACAAGTGACTGCTGAGCGGACAGCTGAGGGTGCAGGACTGGCACCCAGAGAAGAGGCGGGGCTGCAGGCACAGTTTCGGGGGGCGGGGGGGGGGGCCCTAAGCCCCAGCAGGGACCTATCACTGAGGAGAAGAGAAGAGGGGGGAG